CATAGAGAAAGTATGTGAGACATTTTCAATTCCATCCAGAATGCTATTTCAGATGCAGATGGTCACATAAAAATGTAAAAAGCAATTTTCTATCCACTTCATACATTCCGATTGAACTGAACCTTAAATGTTGCAAACCAGAAATATAATGAAGGAAAGTAGCAACTAGTCTGCACGCACTGTGACTCGTTCAGTGACAGCTGCATATCATTCAGAAATGAAACAAAATAATAAAATAAGGTATGTCATTGAAAATCCTTCTAATGTATTGACTGGAGACAGAATATATTTACACTGAAACTTCGGTAATTAAACGCATTCGTGTTTGTAGAAGACCAGACTTGGAGATAAAACTGCCAAAAGACACGTAGACTACATTCTTTTTAGCTAAAAACTTATTTTGGTCTAGAATCTGTAACGTTTGTTAGCAATTAATATTTGAAAACCGCATCAAACTTATTTTGGTCTAGAATCTGTAATGTTTGTTAGCAATTAATATTTGAAAACCGCATTTCCTTAAGGTATCGTGAAGCTTGAGTTTTCCACTTAAACACCAACCAGGGCGAGGTCACGGTAAAACTTGTTCTCCACGGCCTACACCCACCTACGCGTATGGAGATGGACTTCAACATCCATCCAGCACAATCTCGTTGTAGTGGACACAACAGATTTCAAGGAAAATTTATATGATTCGGTACATCCAGAATCTAACAAACACACAATAAAAAAACCCAAACAAACCAACATTCGTTTGACTCCTGAGATACTTCTTGTGTCCTGACATGTCAAGTCAGAGCAGCGGTACTACTGAATTGGTAAAATGCGAGGTCAGGGGCTGGCTTTATGTAGTGTATTTGGAGAAACAAGTTTATAAAATGTTAGTTTAGCCCGTGGGGTTTTTACAAGACTTTATATTAACATTACAGAAAAAGAAGAACAAAATTGAGTGTGCACTGACAAGAAAAAATAGTGTTTCACCCTCGTGAAAAAAAAATGAAGCGCCAAAATGTTTTGTGCGATTATCCATTAATTTAAAAAATACGCTTATTTAACAAAGCTGTGCATATCTAACACCTGTCATAATCCACACTCACAAACCATAAAGGGAGGATGGATAATACAATCAATCCTGTTTCCGTACCACAGTGCTCTTTTAGCATTGAAACCAAATCCAGTTTAAGACAAGAACATTGGTTTTTAAAACATTACTACGTAGGCTGCACTGCGACTTGATTGCAGGAAGTTTGCTGCTGTAGTTTTGTTTTTAACCTTAGCAGACTCCCTGCTCCCTTAGAGACAAACAGCATCACAGCTGACATGGATGATGCCTGAAAGCAGGATGTCCTGCTACTGCATGTTCTTCTAGAATGTGTATATATACAAAAGACAAATAAAATCTAAGCAAAAATAATTAATTACCCCCAAAAAATAATTACCCAAAAAAGGCAGTACTTCTGCAAATACCACCACGCAAAAATAAATGTATTTTAGGAAAAAAAGAAAAAGGTCAGGCTCAAGAACAAAACCAGAAGCAAAACCTCTTGCGCTGTGAGTCTTCGCGGCGCTGGGTCATTTCTCGCGCTGCTGAGCGAGTTCAGCCTGGGCCGGATCCTTTGTCCTGACAAGACGGCTTCAACCCCACCGTGTGGACAAAAGGAGAGATGCTGCGGCCTCGGAAAAGTGCTCCTCTTACCAAGTTTACTACTTTCCTTAGGCAAACTGAGTAGTTCTGTACATAGCTATTTGAAGAAAATCCCGACACTTTCTTACGTAGGTGATAAAGCATCTTGCCATAAAATATAACGGTCTGACCCTGACCTAGAACAAAGCTTGGAGAGCTTTTAAGAAAGGTTCAAAATGTTTTGTCAAAGATATTGCAGTTCAAAGGTCTGTTGGGCATAAGCATTCCCAAATTAGAAAAATATCTCGTACTAACTGGAAAAATAATCCTCCGTGTTTAGTTCCTTGCAAAGCTTTCTGCGGCACAGATGGCTCAAAAGAGACATGGAATTGATAAAGCAAATTGCAAGACAGATGAGCACCCCTCTGCCCTCCCTGGCCCCCTTCCCAAAAACTAAGACAACATCAGTCTGAAACCGTAAAGAAATTTCAGGGGCCAAACCTGAAAACCATGCAGAACCATGTTTCCAGCTACATTCTGCTTTCGATTCTAAAAATACAGAAGCAGGAGCAAGCCAGTGTGAAGTAAAGTTAAGCTGGAATTAACTCTGCTCTACCCCAGTGAAGAACGCGGCATCTTAAAAAAGGTATCGAGTTTGCCCATATCAAAAAATACCCGTTTTCTCAAGAGAGAAAATTAAAGTGGGCTTTCAGGAAAATGAAAACTAATGCAACAAGGTAATTACCAAAGTCACTTGCAAATCAATTGAAAGTGTTCAAATTCATTTCAAAAAGACCTTTAAATTTGAGCCTATAAAAAGAAAAAGGCATCTGTAGGAAACCTAGATGAAAAAATAAAACTTCTTCAAATATAAAAAGTGTTCTGCTTTCCGATAAATTCAAGTAAATTAACATACAGCAATTGCATCCAGCAAACAACAGATGCTCGGTTTCAGCTACCTAAAAGCCCCAAAATATACAGACACCACAAACGCGGCGCAACAGTCTATGTACAGCCTTCCAGGACGGGGGCTGCCTGGAAACCTCGCAGTCACGCGGATATCCTTTACAAGACAGCACCCTTTTTGATATTATCACAGAAAACGAAGTTTAAAATTAACTTAGGAAGTAAAAAAATATTTAGATTTGTACATATATTGGAATTACTAGAGAAGTAAAAAGAAAGCGATGAAGAAACATTCATGCAAGGTAACCTGACCAGCAGTTCTGGACTGAACGGAGAACAGCACGTGGGGCCGGCTCCTCCGTTGGCATATACATACCGATGTATACGTCCGTGCGAGGTCCCGGGGGTGAGCGGCTGGGCTGGCAGAACCGCGTCCCGGCCAGCAGCCCGTGCCTCGGGACAAACACGCGCTCAGCGTCGCACCGCTGTGCCCGTTCCCAGCTTTCCCATAGCTATGGCGCTCTGAGCACCGGAGCTGGGAAGGCGGCCAACGCTGCGGAGCAGCCCAACATGCAACCACGGGCATGGCGAGGCTGGAACGAGAGCGACGCGTTGTGAGCTAAGTGCAGGTGGGACCACTTGTTCCGACTGCGTCCTTGGCCCGGCAGGACGGCACCCACCACCCGTGGGACGCGCTGGCTGAGGGAAGCGGCACTTACGGCCTCCGAGGGAGGAGCGGAAAAGGAGAAGTGAGGACTGTGGTTCATCCGCGGGCTTTGACCCGTCTGTCCCCATGGTGAGGAGGGGCAGGGGGAGCGCCCTGACCCCCCCCGGGGGTCCCCGGCTGCGGGGTGCGTTATAGCTCCCAGATTCTCTGCAGGGGATGGTTTCCGGCTACACCACAGGTTTCTGTGCTGCGCTCTCCTCTTCCAGGTGTTTACTCTCAGCCTCTGTGTTTACTTTGACATCGCTCTTGTGCCAAGCACCTTCTTCCCGCAGAACGCCGGATGGACTGGCACACGCGGCGGCACTCCGGGGTTGCTCTCGGGGTGCACCTCCTCTCTTGGAGCGCGTGGCTCA